AATATAATTAGAGATATCGATTTTGAACCGGTTGTTTAATCAATCAAATAGAAACTTTATTCTCGTAAACATGCGTCTATGCTTTAGTAAGTTCACCCCAGAAAGGGCGTACAGTTCAGAGACGGGATATTTTCGCTGGAATTTATTGTGAATGAAGCGTAAACTTGTTCTTTGAACATCTTCGAGGACGTTTATGTTGGTACTTGTAAACGGATCCCAAACCACCGAAGCGGCGGTGCTAATTTAGCTGTCTCTACATTGCTGCCAAAGCGATTAAAGCGGCGGTGCAACAATTTTGTACTTTGCGCGAATACTGCTTAGTTGAATTTCCAACGTTTATAACCTATGAAACACGCATTACTTTTCCAGCCCACTCAAATTTAGTCGCAAAAAAAAAAAAAGAAAAACGAGCAGCGCTTACCTTCTCAGCTTGTACCCAGAACACGCTGCCGCAAGATCTGAAGGCGATTACATGCTGCCAATATTTATCAAGCCGCATCCTGGTTTTGGAAAAACGCAGGACACGCTCTGACTTTTAGACATTGTTAGGCTTCGGCCGTTGTTGTCATTGCAGCGATTGGACACAAGCCACTACACGAATGTTTTTCAAGCTTGTTTATCACGAGACCAAATCTAGTGCTCACGCAATGCTTGGGTCCAATCTATGAGCCGCATTCAAATATCGTCACTAAGGGACTTTATAACGCCACTGGAGGACACTGCATACCAAAGTTACTAGATTACCTTAGTTGTGGAACTCCTGCGGAGGGGATTACAGTCCCCCCCCCCCCCCCCCCTCATTCACTTCTGTTCGCCTCCCGTTGTTTAAAGCGCCATCTAGATTTCCGTTTCAAAACCGTGTGCTCCATAGAGTACGGTGGAACGGTATCTAGACTATGCGCTTTGAAACGTACGGATTCCATAGAATACGCTGCAGTTACCACATCAACTGTCCGGCGCGTTAAACGACGGGTGGCGAGTCGGGGGACGGGGGGGGGGGGGGGGGGGGGGTGATGCACGTGCATGCAGCGTCTATGAGCAGTTTCGTAACTGAGCTAATTTAATAACGCTGCTGCAAACTCCAAACTACGTCATCAAGTTTTGAGAAGGAGAGGTTGAAAGAAAACGCTCGCTTTTATTCTTGCAATTACACCACGACAAAATCGTTTCTTGGTCTGTGGCGAGTTTGTGCGAGTATACCATGGGTGCCACTAGTGCTAATAAACTCATGTAATTTGTGAAAAACTTCACACTGAATATCGTTGCACCGCCCCTTTAACGTCGATCTATCATTAAAAACAAACTTATCCGCCACAAAACCGGAATTGTTTGTACTATCCGAGCATCCCTGCCTTCCTCTGCAGGGCAACTGACGTTACCAACACGCATCGCAAAAGTCTGCCGTTTTTGTCTCGTGATGCGTACGCCGGGGATAAATACCCGGGATTTCTTGCTCAAATGAAAATACTAGTTTTTTTGTTGTTTTTTTTATCAATTACCCTAATTAACTTTTTTGTTTTTAAATTAAGTGACGCCATAACCAACATTCAAATATACCTGCGCTTTACAGTGTCATGACGTCGCTGGCAGGTAGGTTTGGATGTCGAGCAGAGGATCTAGAAAACAGAGCATGCCACGCATTTTTTTCGTACTGCCGCGTGGATGCTTAAGCGAATTTTTAAAGCGTTCATTTGACACCATCAAACTTCTTGTAATCGATTGGGAATAGATTTTTACTGCCTAAAGAGTGAACTCCTGCCTGCCTCTGCCTGATGCTGGATGTATGTATGGATGCTAATGGATGTACACTTAATTTATACCGGGCGGTAGCTTACACCACCTAGCTTAGAAACCCAAAAGTATTATTCCTCCCCTCGCCCTTCTAAGTCAATCTGCTTCCCTTCTGCATTTTGGTAATCATAACCACGCATGAAATATCACAAGTATCACCTTTGGGGGATTGGGAGAAGAAGACTAAGAACATCACCCTTCCCCTGCCTTCTTCCCGTGGCGAGGGAGTCCCCAATTTTCCTCATCTGGTCAGGCCTACTCGGCGCTACCCCCACCCCGGGCCGACCGAGAAAAAGGGTTGTGTCTTTGAGCCGGAGTCACGCGGGAGGGAGTCCCCATTTTCCTATGTCTCACCTGTCCCTGGCTGCGCTAGTTAGTTGTTATTCAATCAATTTTCCCTGGAAAATTTCTACCAATCTTCTAACCTCCTCCTTTTGACTGCGATTATTTTCACCTCCGTTCTTTTATCCTCGCCAGCAAAACCCAGCGCCCTTGCCAGATCCGTCACCCCTTCAGGGAGGAAAGGGCAAAACCCTTTGCACTTTAAAACCAAATGTTCTTGTGTATTACTCTCAATATGGCACACGGCCCACAATATGTATATGTCTTGAAATTTTGCCCTATCAGTCCTTGTTCTTAACACTCACGTTCTCGCCTCGAACAGGAAAAAAGTTCCAATGAATTATTAAACATCGTTTCCTTTTTTATGTCTTTTTTTTTTTTTACCTCTACATTGTAAGAGCTGACGTTTTTTCATTATTTTCTCCCGCAATTTCTTCCTGCCTTGTTCACTCCCTGTTTCACTGAAATCTGCTCAGTCCCATCACTAGCATGCCGGTATTTATTTGTCAGCTTGCGGGTTCGGTGTGTCCATTCTGTGTTTAATATTTTTATGTATAGATACTTGAATAGTGTTCATGCCCATCGGGTAGTATAATTTTCATTTAACCTTTCTTCAAATTTAAATTTACTGAGTGCCTCTGTGCTTTCAAAGGACGCCGAGCTCATGTCCTCTGGTACTCCCTCATTTGGTGTGTTCCCATGCGCTCCTACTGCTAACCTGCCCACGCTCCTTTGTCGAATTTTTGAAAACTGATTGAACCTCTGATCTCATGCACGGTATGCCACTGCCAAGAGACAGTCCTGACACCATTGCTCCTTTCCATATACCCCTGAACACTTCATCCCTATTATATTTTCATAATGCCTTGAATTTCATGATAGATAATTTTCTTTTCTCTATTCTAATTATATTTTTGTTCATGTTCCTCTAGATATTTCCTTCCTTCATCGATCCATACTCCAAGATATTTGAATTTTTCTACATGGTCTATTTCAATTTCTTTTATCTTCAGGGGTTCCCTCTCTTTTTCACTGAACACTATTACTTAAGATTTGTCACTACTAACGGTCAGGTCCAAGCTGTCTTCTTCTCCACATTTAGTTCCTGTAACGTGTCGCGGTTATCTGCCATGAGTACTATATCGTTTTCATACATTAATCATTGGATTATTTGTAATACATTTCTTTCTTTTTCCATATAACTCACATCAAAACCTAAATTGTTCTGCTCTGATGTATTTTCCATTCCACTTAGGCATATCATGTAGAGCAGGGGTAACAGTAGGCAGCTCTGTCTCAGCCCTTTTTATTGCTACTGGTTGTGTAGTTTCTCCTTCTCCTGTTATAGTATTTTATTGTTTGCGTCCACCTGCTGAAGAAATCTATTCAAGATTTTCACCTAAGTTATACCCCTCTCTTTTTTTTTTTTTTTAGTAGACACTTTTAGTTTATAAAAAAACGGTAAAAATTGTAAATTCAATACCTTCGCCAAAAATGTTTTGACATAATATTTGGATTACTAATTCAGCGATGTTAGCTTGTGTGTTTGATCAATTTTGAGGAAAATCGAGGACAATAAAGAAAACAATGGAGTATGGTAATTTCTTCCTTTTTTTTTATTTTTTACAACGATATTACAGCGATAGTTGCTAGCGGGCCACTTCCCGGTTTCGCGCCGTCGACCGCGCTCCATATCGACGTGGGCCCATTTTCGTCACGCCACCAAACACTCCACGGGCCGCTGATAATAAGATAACAAGCAAGCATGATAACATGCTTCGTCATGCATGGTAGCAAGGTAACAGGCATAGTCAGTAAAACAGTCCCCGCAGGGCGATCTGACGGTGCACTAAGATAGGTGACCGTGTGACCCAGAATTAGCACAAACAACGATTCTCGGGAGATACGCAGATAAATCTGTCTTGGAATTTTACAATGCATTCGGAATCAGAAAAAAAGAAAGCAAGTGCGTTAGTGCCCCGTCAAGGCACATGACAGGGACAGAGTTTTATTCTCTAAACGAATAGCCAGAAAGATGGTATTAATAGTGTCTGTTTGTTTCAATAAACCCTCATTTGAGAGTGCACTTTGTCTACTTCCTTGTCCCTGCTTATTCGGCGCTTTTCATTTAGACGCGTGACTATTTGTACGGAAGTGACGTACGAGAACACGCTCCCCTCTTACGCAGACAGCGGAAATGCTCTCTACTTAACACACCCTCATTGCGCCCAAAACGCAATGGAATGTTCGTCCGGTGTGTTACTCGGTTTGATACGAAATGCGAATGCGAACTTCATGGTACGCGCTCGCATCTTTAGCGTTCATTCAGTTCATCTGCTCCGAGAGGACACCTCAGCAACTCCGACGACACACCTCAGCTGTCGCTGTGTTCCACCTTACGGGTTGCGCAAGTGTTGACATTTTAGAGCCCAGCTCTTAGGCTCCCGTTTCCGGGTTGAGCGGCGTCGGCGTAACCGTGCGTTGCATTATGGGACGTCTCCCAGCTAAAGTTAGCGCGGGGAAATTTTCCCGCTAAATTTAGCGGGAAAACTTTACGCCTAAATTTACCTCCTAAATTTAGCGGGGACGTTTCTTCGCTAAATTTGGCGGGGAAATTTTCGTTAAACTTAGCGAGACATTTAGCGAAAATTTCCCGCTAAGTGGGAGGGGAGCGGGAGAGGAGAAGGGGAGGGGGAGGAGGGGCATACCCTCCCTTCCGTACACTTCCCTCTTCTTCCTCAAGAGCTGCGCTCTAATTCGGAATTGCAAAAAATTGTAAACGTCTTTCTTTTCTTTTTTTTTAATTTCATCCGAACGAGCATGCGTATTGGACGCAGGGGATGTCCCCTGGGTGCCTTCACCGAGGCCGTGGCGCAGACGCTGAACAAGGGCGGCGTCATGTGGGGCGTCCTGTCCACGGAGCCGCTGCTCTTCAGCACGGCGTTCCTGGGCCTGGCGCTGCATGGTTTCTTCTGCGTCGGTCTCGTGTACATGAGCTCGTCCAGGAGAGACGCCGTGCGCTTCTTCGCCACACTGGCGTGTCCACTGAGCACTGCTTACGTCACATCGTCCAGGTAAGTGCAGCCGTTTTTCACTCCTCTTTTTAACGCATAGCGTCTATTGCGTGAGACAAAGGGGTCGTTGCGCGGTTCTAACAAGATGCCGCTGCGGGGGCGTTGCTGTCGACATGGCGCATTCACGGACCTTCACTTCGCGGGAATCTAGATTCTGCGCACGCGCAGTATTTATAACTGGAGTGGGAAAAACACTGACTTGTTTGTAAACAGCTGTACTTGGCAAACCCTGAAGACTACGGTCCCGGTGAGCCAATCGGCGCGTCGGAGGGAGACACGTGAATCAATGTTATTTTACTAGGGCTGTGTTCCAAATCTTACCCAAATGGACCCGAGCTACTCCGCAGGGTCGTGTCAACTGACAACACAGATTGAAAAACGCCGGTAGCGAGTAGGTTTTAGAACGCCAAGGTACAAAACCCTTACCCTGGAGTAAGATCGAGTAAATTTTGGAACACGGCCTAGGTGTGCGCAGTGCTCTCCAAGCCACGGGCGGGAGAGGGAGGAAAATCGCTTCTCTTCTAATTTAAAGTGACAGGCATCTCTCCAAGGGAGACAAAGACGACGTCTGGGGGAAGTTTTTCCTTCCCCTGTCTTTCAACTGCTTGCTTTACGCTCTCGTCCCCGTACATTTGGTAAGGGCTTCAGGTGTCTCGGCTCGTGTCGCTTTGATTGGCTAGAAAAGGACGGCTCATTCCTTGCCAAGTTACAATTAATCGAAGTGTAGCTGTCTGAAGAGACCGCATTTAACGGTACCGCGCTAGAATTTACCACAGAGGCGTCTGAGGGTGGCGGATCGCGTGTATCACTGAACAAACTTGGCAGAGTAACAAGTTGGAAATTAAGAACTTGAGATACCTACCGAGTGCGTCCGTCTGCCAATGAAAGCCGTCTGACCGGTGCAACAGCCGACAGCGCAGCGCCACCATGCAGCTCGCGTCAGTGTCGCCGCGAACGCGTCTTGCAGCGTATCAAAACCGACGCGACGGTAGCACGCAGCGGCACCGAGACGCGCGCATCTGCCGCTTTGCCGCAAAGTCTCGTCTCTCGGCGAGGATCAGCGTGTTTGTTGGTAGGGGCAACATATGTTAAGGCGGGTTGGCGGTCTGCTAACAATGACGTCAGACGCAGGCCTTGGCTTTTATAATCACTGACAGCTCGAGTAACGCAGGGCGTCGCAAGTTCCGAGGAACTTTATGAGCATCCAGTGGGACTGCAACATTTGACACAAACCACGTCGAAAACTGAATCTCGACGTAAAAAACACGAGAAGACGCTTAAGATTCGCCTTTAAGAGTGGAATGCGATAGCTGAAGATGGGGGTAAATTCCCGCTAGTTCCAAAGCCTCGCAAGCGAGAAAAAAAAAAGAGTCTGCGTGGCCTAGTCGATAGCGTGTCTGGCTCGCATCGGAACGGTCATGGGTTCGAATAATGCATCCGTCTAAAATTTCTTTAACTTTTTTTGTTTAGAGGGATACTAAAACAAAATTTCGGCGCTCATTTTTTGGTCTATATGTGTTCAAAGGAGCAGCATCACATCGAACACACCAATATCTTGTTAAAAAAAGTCACGAAAAGGAATTTTAGAACGAATTAAACGATTAGGAAAGAGCACCTGGTGGATGTCGCTAACGCCTCGTTTGTAATGCCCGTCTAGGAACCTTGACAGCTAGTGACGGAGGTTGTCTCGCCTCCGGCCACGACGAGAGAAGAGGGGAAGAAGGAACTCCCCTCTTCCCGAGAATGCCTTTTGTGTGTCTCAGAAGTCGCTATTGTCCCCTTACAAGATTACGGAAGATTAACCCGTCACTCAAAATTCGTACAAAAGCAGCCGCTTCGGTGGCAGGAACGACTAGGCCATCCTCTCGACGTCAGCCTCGCCGTACCTTTGCTCGTCCTGAAGCGACCTACGTCACGATTCCGTTGGATGTCACGTGGTCTCCGCTGGGCCTTCTCCGAGCGCTTGCCAGAGTGGGCCGTTTATAACGAAAAATATAGCCACCAGGCTGAAAATACAAACGTGCGATTGTCATTTACAGATATTGTGGATCATATTCAACCTATTTTTGAACACGACGGGAATATTTCAAATTTCGTTGAAGTATCCCTTTAGGCAAGTGAAAGATTTTACAGACTGAAATCCTTTGACACAACCAGCGACCTTTTCTTGCATTACATGTAATGTTTTAAATCACTTTTATTCCACACGTGACGTCACGTTTCACGTGAGCGTTGTGGGTTGTTTGACATTCTCGCGGGATGGTACGTGGCTGTGACGTCATTGCCCTATTGACTAATCAGGATTTTCCCGTCCCATGCCGCCGACGCCGGCTTTTCTGCGACCCGAGCTCCATAAAGCTGTCTCTTTAAAAACGTGATTATACTAAGCCTGAGTTTCTTATACTGCCAGTAACGTCATTTGGTCGAGTGTGAGCGGAGTCGGACGTTCGCAGTGGCGTCGCGCTCCCAGTGGCGCTGCGCCTGCTGGAGCAGGACGGCTACGTGGAGCGCGGACCGCTGCGCGTGCTGCTGCCGGCGCTGCTGGTGGTCCTCAGGGCGGGCACCAGCGTCTACAATATGGTGGCCCTCCTGTTCGTCGCCCAGCGTAGGCACAGGGACATCAGCCTCGGGGCCAGAGTGGCCATGTGGTATGCCGGGGAAACTCCGGAGTGGCCTTCATGGGTGCATAATGTCAACGTGGAGAGAAACTGGAGGAGAGCAGGAGATAAGAGCATGGGGTGACATCAAAGCACCGAGCGCTGATAGGAAGGATTAGTGGTATAGGCGCAAAGGGTAGCTGCCTTGGCCTCTACCCACTCTTTCCGTGCAGTCAGAGTGAACAAGAGCGCCGACAGCTCCTCGCTCATGGTCGCACGTCACCTCATGTCGAATCCTAAAGTAAGAAAAAAAAAATACAGAAAGACATTTAAGCTTCGCCTTCAAGAGTGGAACGCGCTGCTGAAGAGCACCGGTTCCATGGACAGGACGCCCCACATGACGCCGCCCTTGTTCAGCGTCTGCGCTTCGTTCTCGGCGAAAACACCCAGGACACATCCCCTCCGTCCACTCTTCTCTCCTTCGATTTCTTCGTAGTGGGGTGCGGCAATGTGACGGGGTGCCCCTGACCCTAGTGACGCTGCTGAATGCCATGATGCGGAGACGGTTCCGGTTAAGTTAAGCAGTTAGAAGGGTAATTGGGATAAACCGACACATCCCCTGTCGATGCATTGTGGTGACAGGTTCCATGACTATACGTTCTGAGGGGGTATGCGGTGTTTTACCCTCGGGCTAGCGCACTCGGCTGCCTTAGCTCACATTGCCGTCAACTGCACGATGCCTTCGCTAGGCTATATTTGTTTGTTTTTCTACTTTTAGAGAAGAGATGGGACCAGAGTCGTTTATACCGAGTGAGTTTCGTTGATCCGGAGCTCAAGTCACTGGATCCTAGGAAAGTAGCGCCAAGCTCCCCGTATGGTCACTATTTTGATTCATGGAATAAGCAGTTTCTACTTGTTCTGTTCATTCTTAGTGAACCGACCCACATTTGCGGTGACAGGTTACCCAGATTTTGTTATTTAAACATCGGCAAAACAAGCGCACATCTTCGAACCACCACCACCGGTGGCGTCAGTGCTTGGCGGCATTGAAAAATAATTTTCCTGGGTTGAATAAGCAGCAACAACAATATAATTGTAAGAAATTTGTGATGGTCAGCATGATTAATAAGTTGATTGGATGCACAATGACAAAGACTCGTATATTGGCTAGGAACAATTTCAGTATATCCGATAACGGTCCACAGCGATGTTGGCGCGGCTGGTTAAGAAAGGCCTTTCTGAAGCTTTGAGGGGACCGAAATGGCGATTGCCATGGCAGCAGACACCAATTAACCAATCTCCTTGCGAGGATTTATGCATGTATGTTAGTGTCTGTGTCTTGATAGCAGCAAGGGACGGCAATAGAGCTATTTTCCCAGGATCCAATGATTTTAGACGGAGTTTGTGGCCTGCAAGAACAAGTCGACTTGGCGATAACATGCAGGGTGTTCGCGAGCGCTACCCGGGAGTTAAAGAAAATATTATTATTAGTTATTAAATTGCTGTATAAATTAGACTCACGTTCATTCGACCAAATTCGATTAAATGCGGAAGCTTTACAGGAAATGGTTGTAATATGTCGTGCACACAATCGAGGACGACTTCGAGCACAATGTTAAGGACGGCGCCTAGGACGATGTCGAGGACAACCTCAAGAATGCCACCGAGAACGGGTAAAGTACGTCCTAGAGGTCGACCTCTAGGACGCGTCAAGGATGTCTTCTAGGACAACATCCTAGATGACGACGTCAAAGACGACACCTAGGACGACCTCTAGGACGACAGGTCACGTCAGCTTCAGCTACCGCCGCTACGAGCTTACGCGACCGGCGCCTACGCAAACGGAGCTTACGCAACGGGCGCTTACGTGACCTTGATTACGCGATGTTGACCTTCAGCTACGAGCGTTGCGTGACCTCAATGACATGACCTTGAGGACAACGACATGACTTGGGGCGTGGTTGGACCTATAAAGCTACCGCTTACTAGCTTAAGCGACCGGCGCTTACGGTACCTTGATTACGCGACCTTAAACATCAGTCACAGGCGTTGTGTGACCTTGAGGACGAGGACATGACTTTAAGCGCGGTTGGGCATATAAAACTACCGCTTTAAAAAATCGTATAAATGAAACAACGAACGCAGTTTATTGAAACTTATCTGAAATATTTCTTTAGGTGGGACATTTATCAAACACAACTTTTATTAGGGTAGGTCTCCGTGGAAAAAAAAATATATATATATGCCGCAAAACATTTTTTTTTTTTTTTTTTGAGTTTAAAGAAGCAAACAGAAAAAACTGGTTGACTCAGCTGCTCGCAGATGGCATCCCACACACTCGGGTCTGCAGGATCTGCTTTCGGGTGTTCATCAAAAAGATTTTGCTTCTTTTTTTCTTTCTTTTTTGCGTTTTACCATCTGTAGCTTGACGCTACAGATGCAAAACGAAAAAAAGAAAGACGATTTTTGCCGTTTTCCTGCCTGTGCATAGAAGAAAATGTTTTATTACTTTTTTTTTAAATTACTTATAAAATTTAAGTGTGATAAATTCACCACCTAAAAAACCCTTTCTGAAACATTTGATTGCTCTCCATTCATTGGTTTATTTAGACAAATTTGTTTACGACCGAAAAGCGCTCGAGAATACCTTGTACCATGCTCGTTACCTTATCAAAAGACGGTCACTGGTTTGTTATGCAGAGTGTTGGACAAGATACTGTATAAACGCGTTTAAGGTTAATTGCCTTTCATAAAGTACCACTCGAATTACTTCTTCTGCAAAATATCCGAAATATTAGTGCAGTCAGAATACTTAAAAATATATGTTAATTGCATTCAAAAATACGTCCGCATTACGTAATTTGTATGAACTTCGGTGACACAGGAATGCTGTATTTGCAAGCGACGAGAGCAAACAGAATAAACTCGCAGTGCATGCAATTCCAGCAGAAAGTATCATGAGACACCAGGGATGTCTCATCACATCACTGGTGCATGTCAAGAGAGGATATATTTTGAAACATTACCAAAAAGACCTATAGTCATGCCGCTGAAAATCATATCTTGTGGTAATTTTAGAATGCACCTATCTATAGAAGCATCATTTTGCTAAGCGCTGTAGTCGCTATATCCAGAGTTTGGCATACGCCAAATAATGAGTGCTCCTACCTGAAATAGGTTACCCAAACGCTACATTTAGAGATGTCTAAACTTCAAAAAGAAGTGTGCAAAAAAACACGCAGAAGCACTGCTATCTTTCTGGCGGCTGTTAATTTTTTTTTTTACTTTATTTGTTTTTGAAGCGCGTTCAGAAAGGCCTGTAACGTTGGGAGGAGTGTTTGTTTGCATTTCGAGAGCTCGTCCTGCTTGTAGCTAGTTTCATGTCTTGTCTCTGTCCTCATAAAAGCGTCGAGCTACCCACGTGCCCCCACAGACGCTTTTCCCTCACTCGTTATTCATGTTTTTGCTTGGTGTTGCTTGAAACCGCGAAGAATAAAACACCTTGTGTCCTCTCCTCCTTTCCATTTAGTTATTTTTTGCTGGCATTTTGAGTGCATGTTTGGCCCTGGCTTTTTTTCCTGTTTTGTGCTCGGTCGTTTCCACTATAAGTTGGCAATCGCTTGAGCTTGACGGAAGGATGCGCCGATTTCTATTTCAGTAAAATATTCGAGCGGCAAAGTTTTTCAAAGATTGACAAATGTATCTGAGATAACAAGTACAAAATACAGACATACGTAATCAAGATAGAGTAACAAATACTTTTGATCACATATATTTTCAAGACACCAAATTACAACCAAAAGTATTTGAAATAGAGCATCTTGAGTAGAGTATTTCAGATAGCCACACAAGTTTGGTTCAACCAGGGGGTTGCCACACTCCCAGCCGTGAATGCTAGACTGCCAATACTTTCGAGACTCTCCAACTTTTCCATTACAAACGGTTCCAAATCTATAGATCAGAGCCCGTTATATTAAGAGTGGCGATTTAAAAGAAAAAATTAATAAATTAAGCTTCAAGACTGTGGAAGGTATCCCCATCCCGCTCGCGCTTTGGCGGGTGACGTTAATAACGAAGCGGGGTGCCTCCACGACACCCTGACAGTCCATTGTGGCACGGGAGCATTTCGGATAATTTTAGAAACACGTGTACCGAAAGCCCGTCTCCCCGCAGCGCAGCCAACGCCTTGTCAAGCCTCGGGATCGGCAGCATGCCTGGCGGAACTTCCTTCGGAACCACGTTTCTTCTTCGCCTCGCTGGCCTGCCACCTCAGGACGTCGACTGCGTGGCTGCTCTGGAAGTGCTCCTGTCAGTCCACGTGTCGATTCGACTTTCTTTCCGGCGTTTTCTATAGCGCCAGGCACGCAGAGCCAAAAAGAGTATCGTCAAGGCACTCGTCTTTGTGCGTTTGCCATCACCGGCACAGAAAAAAAGAAAGTCCAAGATCAGGATGCACATGTATTCAGCTGTGCGTGATCGGTTTAGCCAGTGGTGAGCAAAGACTATACGAGCGTCATGAGGATGCACTCTTGACGCTGCTGGATTCCCACTGTCGGATCGTGGCGTTGGCTACAGTAAGGTTTAATGTGAAAAGGAATATAGAAGATATGCGGTTAGAAACTGAGGGAGAAGACGAGATGACAGCTTGCAGTGACGTCAGGCAACACCGCCTTGAAGGCAAGATTATAGTGTTGACATTTTTGCATCACCAGCGAAGGCCAATGCTGGACACAGATTAGAAACAAGTGCTGTGTCAGCGCTCGGCTTCGAGTCAAGGTTCAGCCGAATGTTGGCGCAATCGTCGTGTCCAATCTGTGACCAGAGTTGGCCTTCGCTGATGACGACGTATCTATCAGCCCTACGGCTTTGTTATCTATAACGTGTTGCACCAGAGTGCCGATGTTTGATTTTCTCTTCCAATCTGAGCACGGCGCTCTGAAGTCACCGAGCCGCTCTCATCTCCTCCTCTCCCTATAGATTTTTGCCGTTTTAAAGTTCCGTACACCGGCAGAATGGAAACACGTGCCTGCCGCCTTCGCGCGCAGAAACCTGCTGACCATGTGCAGTAGGTACACGCCAAGAATATTGTCCTCGCAACGAAAGACTGTTGGGAAGAAGTCAGTGAGAAACCGTCTATTTACAAAAAGGGGACACCGGATATGTTGACGAAAGTCATCTTATCCGGCGTGTGTGTGTGTGTGGGGGGGGGGGGGGGGGGGTGCAGAGGGTACGAGTAGAGATGTTGGGGAAAAAAAAAGGAAGTGGTCATATATATTGGGCTAGGCCAGCCTTGATGAAGCCAAGAAGGGTGTCGAGGATTAGCTTCCTGTATAAATTATCTTTGTTGGCGGTAACCTGGTCTTCGTAGTTTTGGGGTGTGAGTTCGGCGGCAAGTCTTGAGATCGTTTCCTGATGTTTTCCTGTTGTCGCTTGACAGTCCCAGATAAGATGTATGCAGGTGGCCGGCACATGGCAGATTGTGCAGTTAAGGTCAGGGTCCGGGTCATCTTCCGATGTTGGAGTGTAAAAACGCTTTCGAAAACACGTGTAATAGCCGTGTTGGTAGCGAGGCGCTGGAGGTGCACCCGATCTCACCTTGAGCATTTTGATGGGATCGGGTGTTCCTCCGTTGGCAGTAGTGCAGCCAGCCGCAACTTTCGCTGTTGTCTCGTGAGTGCCTTTATTTCATCGGGATCGGGGTCCTCGGTGGGTAATATGGCGGAGGAGTCCAGGAGGCCTTGTGCGGAGCCGGTTGCTTGTACCGTGCTCCGCGCTGCCTTATGAGCGTCTTCGTTTCCCCGGATATCTTGGTGTCCCGGGATCCATGAAATTTTTAGGGTGATTCCTTTGGTTGGGAGATAGCGCGCTGCGGCTTAGATTTTGTTCACAGTCTTGTAACTGCTGCTGGCTTTCCTGCATTCTCTAACAGCCTCCTGGTAGTCCGTGTGGATTAAGATTTCTGTCGGGTGCTCACCCTCTTGGGCGTTTTCTAGTGTCCAATAGATTGCTTGGGGTTCAGCGGCTTTGGCACTGGCAGGATAAGGCAGGATTTTAGCATTTGTTTTGCCGGAGCGGAAGGAGTACTAAGCAATGGCTGCCCTGCCGTCCTCGTTCCGCGATGCGTCTGTGTAAATTACTTTATCGGTCTTACACCGAAGGAGATGTTCTGTTTCTTTCGTGTATCTTTTAGCAACATTTGTTCTTCTCTTACAGGGTACTCTGCTTTGATTTTGTGATACAGGCTTGATCTTTGTGATGCTTTTGTGTTCCCATGAAGGAGAAGTGGCTGTAGCTAGAACTGCTTAAAAATTACTCTTCCCGGTGCGCTTTTTTTTTTTTTTCAGGCGGTTTTTTCTGGTTGTGTTGTGCTTCTTTTGCTATGTCTTTTATAATGTTTATTTGAGCCGCTTTGTTTAGACAGGGAATGCGGGTTATTTTGGGTGATAACTCTCATGGGCTGCCTTGTTAAGGGTTCCAACTCGATCTTGCCGGGTCTTGGTAAGACGGAGGTAGTTTAGCCGTAAATGCAGTCCTGGGTAGTAACGCGTTACTAGTAACGTGTTACTGTAATTTCGTTACTTTTTTGATAACTTGTAACTGTAACGAGTTACTTTTTAAAAATGTAACTTGTAACTGTAGTTCTATTACTTTTTCTGAGGTAACGATGAAAGTAACGACGTTACTTTTGTCGTTACTTTCTAATTTTTTTTAATAATATATCACTGAACGAGTACAATTTAGCCATTCTTTGCGCTTTCCAAATTGTCTGTTCCGACATTTCGAGTGTCAAGCTATTTTTTCCACAAACTTGTGAATACGTTCTTTCTCGCCAGTCACGACCCGAATATAGCCACATGTAGATTTGGTGAAAAAAATGTAGTTATCTTTAGCACGCGCTTGTATACTTTGTGACTTAACACTTGCATCTTAGTATCTTGAAGAACTATCTCTTTTGCGGTTTTTCTTTTTTCTGCGCAAACGCTTTTTAATCGGGTGAATCAAACGTGAAACAACAATACACGCGGAGGGCACAAATGTTTCGTATTTTGATTAGCGCCACCACTCCGCACTGCTCATGTTTCGTATTTTGATTTGCGCCACTACTCCGGTGTAGTGTCAACAGTCGAAGTAAAATTTACTTCTGTTTGCGTGGGGTTTGTTTCTGGCTTGCCAGGCACGAACGGAAATATGTCCAGGGACTCTATGAACCCAGCACGACCGTCAACTAGCCAGCAATGTGCTAGTGCTACCAAGGATATGAATGTTGATAAGAACAAAGAACTATCATGGCCGGCGTACAGAGAGAATTTTGCTGTGGTGGAGGTGGTTACTAACAACTTGACCGCAGAAAACGGCACTCTGTTGCCTCAACGCCTACCCGGCAATCAAAAACCTGTTTCGGCGAAACAACACATCAATCCCATCTAGCGCGTTAGACGAGCGCCTGTCCAGCAAGGGCAGGGACGTGTTCGTTATCAAGCAGTGGAAACTTTCAGACACTAATTTCGAGAAGCAACTGCTGCTAAGTTACAATATGAAGTAAAAAGCACAATTTTTAATTTTATGCAAATAAACTTGGTGAAAAGCGTTTTCTAGTTTTTCCTATTTTCTGTGTTATAGAAAAGTAACTGCAAAGTAACGTCGTTACTTTTTAAAAGTGACTGTAACTGTAACGATTTTTTTTGTTGCGGTAACTGCAACGGTAACTTCGCTACTTTTTTCTGAAAGTAACTGTAACTGTAACGAATTACTTTTTAAAAGTAACTTACCCAAGACTGCGCAAAGGGCTTTGGAGACAAGCTCGTACCATTAGTTTTAAAGATTTTTCTTCTGCACCCCATGCTTTGGCTGTTCTCGTGATAAGGTTAAGGCCGCGTCTCCAATGAATCTTAATCTGGCTCAGCCAGCTTCGTGCTCCCTCATCCTCGTCAATTGCGAGACCGAGGATCCTTACATTTAGTTGTCTTTGAATTTCGGTGCCGTCAAAATACAAATTGATGATGTTTCCGATGCTTTTAGAGCGCAGCTCTTAGGCGCCCGTCTCCGGCTTGAGCGGCGTCGGCGAAACCAAGGTCACCCCAAGGTCACGTGACCCCTCTTAAAGTTACGTGACCCCCAAGGTGACCCCCACGTGACCCCCAGGTCATGTGACCCCCGAGGTCACGTGACCCTCCCAAGGTCACGTGACCCCCCAAGGTCACGTGCCCCCCACCCTCCCCGAGGTCACGTGACCCCCTCTCCTCCTCCCGCCCCCGAAGTCACGTGATACCCGACACTCCCCCCCCCCCCCAAGTCACGTGACCGCCCTTCCTGAGGCCCCCGGAACATATTAAAGGATGAGGGGAGGAGGCGAAGGAGGAGAAGGACGGGTCTACCCTCCCCTCAGTACCCTTCCCTCTTCCTCCTCAAGAGCAGAGCTCCGGTTCGGCATTACAGGGAGTTGTAAAGGGCTTTCACTTTTTATTCTAGCCTCTTTGAGGCGACGATTATCATGTTTGTTTCCTGCATGAAGTCCATGGTGAGATCCAGGGTTTCTTGATGTCGCCTTTCTTGAATATTAGGTGTGCCTCTGTTGATCTATAAGGTGACGTTGTCAGCGTACATAATGTAACGTACGTGCCGTATTGCCTCCAGGCGGAATGCTAGGTCAGCCATGGCCATGTTAAATAAAGTTAGGAAGATGACCGCTCCTTGGGGAACTCCTACCGTGTTTCTTGTGAAGGGGCTTCTGGTGCCTCCAATGTGAACTTGGAATGGGCGTCGGTAAAGAAAGGATTTGATGAAGTTTAGTATACGTTCACGAAGGCCTCGATTTTTTGCTCCTCAAATGACTATTTCGTGTGGGTTGGAGTCGAGCCCTTTTTATGTCGATCGCCACTATTATACGAGGCTGTACGGTAGGTCAAAATGTGGAGATGTCATTGTGAATCATGGCTAGACTGTCTTGTGTGGACAGATGTGGACGGATCTAAGTTTGCTTGGAATGTAGTCTGTTGTGTGACTCTAAGATCCAGGTTATTCTGGGTAGGACCATACGTTCCATTACTTTACATAGGTTGAAAGTTAGGGAGATGGATCCTAGGTTCTGGATGTCACTGTTGGATTTTCCTGATTTCGGAATAGGTATTACGGTGGATATCTTCCAGTCATCGTGGAGTCGACCGGATTCTCATAACTCGTACTTGTCATGGAGCTAACGCATTTCTTTATCCGGGAATTTTCGGAGTGTTGTGATGGTAAAGAGGTTCGGGCCTGTAGCTTTGTTGCTATTTTCTTTTGCTAAAGCGTCCAAAAGCTCTCCCATGGTAAAAGGGGAGTCTTCAGGCAGCAATGCGATGATGAGTTCCGGCGCATAGCAGGTATCCGGTGGTTTCTTGGTCGGTTGAGGGAAGGAACTGTTTTCCGCTGCGTTTGCTAGCTCTTCTGTCGTGTTTAGCCGCAATGCGAGGTTGGAACCGGTGTTTTTGCTTTTGGCTTTGCCACTCATTCCTCGGTATGTGTTCCATACCTCCTCCAGTCCAGTCTTGTCACTGAAAGAGCTGCAGTGTGCCCACCATCTATTTCGTCTAGGTTCTAGAGCGTATCTCGTGGCCCTTGCCGTGGCTAAGTTAAGTTTGGTCCGGAGTGCTCGATTTCGTTTATTTTTCCGGTATATCTGGAGCGCTTGGCGACTAGTCCAGAGATTGAAAAGATGAAGGTCGGGTGCAGGAGAATCTTCTTCAATCTGGTATATTATCTTTGCAACCTTGAGGGCCTGTTGGATACGGGTGTCCAGGTTTCCCGCCTTGGCTTGCGGCTATGGTGGTGCGGAAGACATTATATTTAATGAATTTCGCCTGTAGTTTGGCTGGTGTGGTTGTTTTGAGACGAATTACTATTGGTAGATGGTCACAGCCCATTGGATCTGGCAAGGTCTCCCAGGAGGCTTTAAAGTTATTCATGGCCCAGGTGAGGTCCGGGGTTGTGTCGCTGTACCTGGGGCTTGTTGCGTTCCTTGTAGGGGTGTCGGGCTAGTTAGGGAGGACAGCTTTAATTGCTGGCATTAACTAGTTATATTCCGTCCTCGTTTGTTAGCTTTCTAGTGCACCACTCCCCCTTTTTGTGAGTGTTGAGCGTTCATATCCCCAACGATGGGTGTGAGTGTGGTGCCATGCACGACGGCATCGAACCAGTCTTCGTCGTCTCCTTCATTCTGTTTCGGTCTAATGTAGACATAGTAGATGTTAAATTGTTGATTGCCAGTGCGTAACTTAACTCCTACAACTTCTCTGGCTACGTTACATATTTGCGAGGTATCTATTTGTGATCGTATTTTACTGTTAGACGAGGGTAATTGCTTGACCATAAGTTACACCAGTGGATTGAACATGTTTGTAAACCTGAGACTGGGGCAGAAAAGAGAACACAACAAAAGGTAGTAAAAGAGGAGGCAGTGGATTGTTGGCTTTGGTAGTTGCGGGATCGGCGTACGATGGTGGGAGTGTATGTAGTGTACCCTCGAATTGAGGTTTTTAACGTTTGCTTCCTGTAGGAAGATGACGTGAGGTTTGTTTTTCCTCATTTTCTTTGATCTTTCTTTGAGTTCCGCTGCCTTGTTATTAAATCCCCTGCAGTTCCACTGTAGGACCCAAGTAAAAGTCGCCTTACGTTTTGGCTTGTTTTCTTCCTTTTGTTTGGGCAAGTTAATCATTGAGTCCTTTGAGGATATATCGTAGGGTTTGCGAGATGTCCTCAAGGGATCTTTCGACCCTGTCCATGCGTTGTTCCATTGCCGTTACACGTTGCTCGCAGGTGGTGTGATTATTTTGTTGTTGCCAGTTAGAATTTCCGCGATTTGTGGTGGGGGAAATTCGCAGGTTTTTACGGCTGATGTGATCCCATCTGGAACCTTTCTGAAACGGCTGGAACGTACCGGTAGACCTCGTAAGGTGTTGCTTATGCTCCTCGTGGGGGTGGGTTCGTCCATGACTGTGAGGATTTTGATGCAGGGGGTACTATATTTATTTTTGCCATGTTGAGAGGTTTTTTTTTTTTTTTTTCCTGGAGTGTCTGAGACGGAATCTTTTCGGGGAAATTTCACGACTGGGGTAGTCGTTACTTGTGGCGATGTGGGGTCCACCGCAGTTTAAACATTTAGGCTGTAGTTCACATCCGAACCCGCCGGATTTGTGAGTGTCACCGCATCGGTCACAGCGCTTAATGGCGCTAGGGCAGACGTCCGATTTGTGGCCTATTTCATGACATGAGTAGCAGACGAGAGGTCTGGGTCGATAGTCGGTTACTCTGAATATTTCGCAGAGGAAACGAACGTGCTTCGGGATAGGTTTCCCATCGAAAATGATCAAAATGGTCCTTTCCAACCGTTCAGTCGGACGAGCTGCGGCGATCGTGTGTGTTCTGCAGTCGAGACTTTCCACGACGGTTTCCGGAGTTTCTTGCACGTCGTGTACGGAAAGGTAGATAACTCCGCGGATCTGATCATTTGCGACCGCCATGTTGGGGTTTCATCTCGTAGCTTTGTTCGCCCTTGACGATTCGGTTGATATTGAGTAGTTTATTCGTAGTTTATTTCTGTGATCGCAATCGTGTTAGATTTCTGATTCCGGTGGATGGAAAAGTCATCTTTGTTTTGGATTCCTGCCTTTTTCATTGCCCTAAGAATGTCTCTGCCGGTGAGGTTGTCTACGGGCTCCTTGCACGTCGGTTTAGTACGGCTGTGTGCCTGGGTGTTCTTTGTGTTGCTTGCATGGCTTTCTGCTGATGGTAAGTGGAGTTGGCACGTTGTTTTTCTTGTATTTGTTGTGAACCATTAAATTGATAACCATCATCTTCCATATTCTCGAATTATGTCAATGAATTCCCATTTGATCGGGTTGATGTAGAAGGAATGCTATACATTGCCGTCATGGTCGACCGGGTCAGCGATTCTTTATCACCCGTTTCGCCTTGCTGGGATGGTGGCTGGGAATTTCGCTGAGCTCGGAAAGTCTCAAATTTGTTCTTGTGCGTGAAGTATTATTGAAAAAATTAAAGCCGTTTACAACTCCCTGTAACGCCGAATCAAAGCGCAGCTCTTGAGGAGGAGGAGGGAAGGGTACTGAGGGGAGGGTTAGACCGCTCCTCCTCACCTCCTCATCCTGCCTGCTACTCTCTCCGAGCGGTGTCGGCGTCGCCGTCGGCGTAACCTTGAGGTCCCGTGACCCTGGTGACGTCGCGTGACCCTCGTGACCTCATGGGGGTCAGTGACTTTACGGGGGTCACGTGACGTCACGGGGGTCACGTGACCTCGGGGGGGTCAGGGTGTCACGTGACCCCCCTCAGGGGGCCAGGGGGTCACGTGACCCCTTGACCCCCCCGAGGGGTATCTGCCACGAGACCCCCCTGACCCCTCCCAGGGGTGTCACGCGACTCCCCTGCCCCCCCCCTGAGGGGACCACGTGACCCCCTCAAGGGGGCCACTAAATTTGGCAGAAAATTTTCCGCTAAATTTAGGAGGAAATTTACCCATCATGCACTGCGCGGTTACGCCGACGCCGACGCCGCTCAAGCCAGAAACAAGTCAAACTGAAGTTTTGGGGTGCCGTATGTGACAAAAGGTGTGAGAATATACCTTTTTTTTTTAGTGTGTAGAAAGAAGAAAGTTGACAAGTGGATGTGTTTGCCTTTCTTCCGCGCAAACTCTCATAAGCTGTAGGCAACCTGGTAGCATGTTGGGGTGTGTGGTGTTTAAAAATGGCATCTCACTGGTTTCTTCAAAATTTCCGCTCATCATTTTATCCGTGTCATGGGAGCTAATATAGTTTCCGAATGGATTGAATAAGTGCTCTTGGATACTCGTGCAGTTACAATTATTGTAGTGTAGCGTTAATTTGGCTGGCATTTTCAAGGTTCAAGTCCCCCCCCCCCCCCCCCCCCCCCTTCATGTGTGCAGGGATCGCTTCGCTTCCATGCATAATCTACTGGCGTGCTGCACCTGCTGTGTTTTTCTCGGGTCTGGACCGTCATCCTACACACGCCAACGCTGACGCCGCGTTCCCCGGACTTCGCCACCGGACAGCTTGGCAGACTTGCCCGAAGCGAAATCAATAAGACCCGATTTGAGAAAGCGCGATTATTCTTTAAAGCTATCACGTAAAGACCACGGTCTTTATGCACCCGTACGTTATTCTCGCCAGTTCTTTTAATCTGTCAGACCCAAATGATATTTTTGCCGCTTTCCTTTGAGCATGTTTGGTTTGTAACCGAACACTGAAGGACATATCTGATTGTGTATTTTATTAGAAGAGTAAAACTATGACAGTAATAATAGTAGAGTATGTGTGTACGCATTTTATTTCAATAACAATAATACTCCTTAGTAATCATTGTTTTTGTTTGGTTTGCCTGGTGGTATTTAGGACGTTTCGTAGGCGAAAAAATTAGACAAATTATTGACCATTTGAAGAAGTCAGAGTGTCGAACCAGGATTGCATCGAAGTGATAATCGGACTTGAACAATACTATGATTAGCTGAGCCGAAACCACACCAAACCGAAATATTGTTACGAACGACAAGTGAAACAAAAAAAATAACTGAAATAACTGAAACGTTTAATGGGGCGAACTTGAGCCCAAAAATAAAAAGAGAACAGAAGATAACAATAGAGCGTCGCGGGCGTCGATAGCGGCGTAACAGCAGTATCGAGAGCCTGGGCGAGACTGAGTCCGGTTCGCCACGCGGCGCCCCTTAAAGGGGTACTCACACGAGGCAGAAATCCCGGCACGCGCGCATCACGAGATGAAAACGCGAGGCTTTTGCACATCGCAAAGCCTGACGTTTTCGTCGTGGGATGCGCGTGCCGGGGAGAAATCCCCGGGATTTCTCCCTCGTGTGAATACCCCTTTATGTACATGCGTAAGCTTCTGGAATTATCGGCGTAGAATGCTCGACGCGTAGAACATTTGGACCTCGAACACGCAACATGATTCTTGAATCTACCAGAAAACTAAATTGCAGGAATAACAAAAGATGCGGCGCTCCCAGGAATCGAACCCTGGCTTTTCGCGTGGGAGGCAGGCACAATAACCGTTAGGGGCCACGCGCGCGTTGCCTGTTTGGCCACCTGCGCGCGCGGCATTACTCCCCCCCCCCCCCCACCTTTAAAAAGTGCATCGCCCCGATGCAACGCAAAACAAAACAAAGCACATGAAAAAAAACAGCAGACTAAGGAGTCTTTTGGTACACATAAGGTTCAGCCCTATCGAGCGTAGTACGGCTTTAGACGAACGACGTGGACGACTTCAAGTCGTGGTGGGCGGCGTGATGATGTTCTTGCTTCGTCGGGCATCACCATAGTTCAGATCCCCGAGCCGACGAAGCACTTTGTAGGGTCCAAAGCACGAGTTGGTCGTGGTCCGAAGTGGCGCTTCAATAGTTTTTCGCTGAGACCATGGCGGCGGATCGGTGTCCACACCCACACCCTGTCTCCGGGGTGGAAGTGGATGTCCCGGCGACGAAGGTTGTAGCGGCCAGCGTCGATACGTTGTTGGACTTGAATCTGGAGTCTGGCGAGCTGACGGACTTCTCCTGCCCGTTGGGCAACCACCTGGGGCACCATGACAGAACAGCACACGACATAACAGCACGCGACAAAACAGCACGGTCAAAACAGCACGCGTCAAAACAGCACAGCGTCAAAACAGCACGGCGACAAAACAGCACGCGTCAAAATAGCACGCGACAAAACAGCACAGCGTCAAAACGGCACAGCGACAGAAGAGCAAGGGCCAAAACAGCACGACGTCGAAACAGCACGACGTCAAAACAGCACAGCGACAAAATAGCACAGCGTCAAAACATGACATTGACAATATAGCTAGAGTTCGGCCTTTTCGGTTTGTATTATTTAAAATTCCGCGCACATTTTTTAAGTTTTTATTCAAAAGTTTTCGGTTTATTGCGGTGAATATTTGTAGACTCATAAACTTCTCAGTTATATTAGGTTTATTGACGAAAACCGGTATACTAACGAAAATGCAATAATAAAAGCGTTTGTGTAAAATGTATATTGAGTACCAGGTACTGGTCTTCTTATTTGTTTCCGTCTTTGGCAGCCGATGCGATCTGTTCTGTAAGACGCACTGGGGCCTTATCGTGATCTGACATTATCGTCGTGTGCTCGTAATTGCACACAGGACGAGCATGAGCATCAGTACCACTTCGGTCGGAGAGGCAAATATCAAAATGGAGAAATTAGCAAGCGTTGTACTCGGTGCGCTTTCCCCCATTATCACGACTGCGACAGGTGATAAATTCGCGCCGACTGCAGAAATGAATATCAAACACTCGTAAAACACGCCCTCCTCTAGTAGACGGAAGCTAGGGGTGTTAAAAAATGCGCGGCATTTACGGACGCTCTTGATTTCCGTTGTTTGAATTCACGATTAAACTCTCTTCTTTTAACAAAAAATTCGGTACAAATCCCTATCAGGTGAAAAACCCAGATTTCGTCCTGAAGACCCCTGTGCCCCCGGAGCTTTTGTTGAAAGTTGAACCGATCTCGCAGACAAGCTGAAAACTGCGAAAGGAAGCGGCCATGTGGTCAGTAATGAGTAGGGTTCCGTGTTTTCGGAGTTTAGTTTTCGTCAAATTCGGAGGGTGTTTTTCTGAGTTTATTTTTTGCCAAAAATTCTGAGTTTATCGGTGTTTATTTTTGTTTGATTACGAATTCTCCGAAATTCGGAGCCAAATTTCGCAGTGTTTCTTATTAAAAATAAACAAATAATATCCAAATGTAAACGTATGCTGGACAAAAAAAAAAAAAAACGCGATTGTATCAATTAATATTTTCTTCAGTTGGATTTGGCGTTGGTGCCATTACTACTGGCAATACTAATTTGTCCTAATATAAAAGTGGCACGCAAGTGTTATTTCGATAAATGTCTATACCTTAAAATCAATATCCTACTGGAGGTAGTCGCTGGGAAGCCTGTATTTATTCCATGCTATTCCATCATCCTACCGCGCGGCTGCAAGAGGCAGAGTGGAAAAGGATGAAATAGAGAAGTTTCACCTGTCCTTTTTCCCACTTTATGTAATTTCTATCGTCCAAAGGTTTCACGGTTACAAAAACACAACCTCTCCTTCCTTTCAGGCACAAATAGTATGACCCAAACCGGAAACAATAACAGTGACTTTTGTCTTGACCCGATAGTACAATGACGTGTTGTCCTGACCGAAATTTGAAAGATATGTGTGGTGGCATTTTCCCAGGGCCATTTACTGCACGCGCTGACTAAACCATTAATTGTAAAATATATGCGTGTGTGGGAAAGAGGGGGGTGGGGGGAGGGGAATGGCACATCGAAATTCAGAGTTTATCAGATAAATCCGAATATACGAAACTTTTACCGGCGGGTAACACGAAACCCTAGTTATGAGTCACATTCCCCTCCCCCCTCCCCCCACAGGCACACAAACACACCACTCCAAACGCCCTAGAAAACACTGAACTTTTTCAGCTAAGACCGAATTCGGAAAACATTAATTCGGCGTACTTTTACCGGTTATATTCGGTTTAACCCGAAAACGCTGAACCCTAAACGTAGCGTTTGAAGTTAAAAAAATGCACGTCTCAAATAAGGCACTGTAAAGGAATTGGGGTTCTAGGCCAATTCGTCTAAAGCCAACTCGTCGACGGCCAATTTTTTTAATCTGTTCTTTTGGAAGCAAGTTCGCAGTGGGGAGTATACTCGATGCGCGCATGAGGGTTCCCTGGGCGGGCAGTACCGAAGCCCCCGCTGGTGCTTATTCTGGCTAGTTTGTAGCATGAACTACACTGGCCGAAGTTGAGAAGTTTCGCGTGACTCGCATAATGAGCTGTGCTCCGTGCTGCGCATGCCCGAGGAGCAGTGACGTCACACGGCACACAGCTGGCGCTCCGAAGCCGCCGCCGCCGCGCGCTCCGCCGCCGCCGCGCCCGCCTCGGCGGTTTGCGCATTCCAGAGGAGAGGCGTCATAGCCGCGGCAGACGCACTGGCGCCTCCGCGTGCCCAGCTGTGCGCCTCCGTTGCGCAGTAGCGAAGTCTAACGCTGCACCGGAGCCGCTTGATAGCGCCTCTCATTTTGTGCGCATAAGCTCACACTACATATATCCTGGCATAGCCGAGCTAAGCCACCCCAATTTTTTTGAGCAGTTTTGCTCATTTTTACTCGTAAGTTTGCTGGTGATATCGTCTACAATAAATAATCCAATCGCACGGCAATGTGCTGTCGTTAGTTGTTAAAAGAAAAAAAACAGAAAGCGTGTGCGGCAACGGTGTGTTCAGCTCATGCTGCAGTGCAAGGCCACAGCATTGAGGCTGCGGCATGTTACTGCTTCACCGGTTTACACTCGATCAAGGCCTTCGTCGGCAATAATTTGTGAATTTAACTCAAAGCGTACAACTTCTCGCCTGCAAGCTACAGCCGCGTGTTTCTAGGAGATTTTATTCACGGCGAATGTACCCCGCAGAATCGGTGCCCATTGCACACCGTCAAAAAGCTCTACATTAAAGTCACCTTATCTTACCGTTTCTATGAATGCGTTTGTAATCGGCGCATCTCCCGCTTTTTTTTTAGGGGGGGGGGGGGGGGGAGAGACGGGGGGGGGGGGGAGGAAACGTTCTACGCTTAGGTGGTAAAGACGAAACGAGGAGTACTACGGAACCTCACCGGACCGCCACAAACCAGGAAGTTCATAACTTGAACTTATGGATATCTTTTTCCCAATAACTTTTCCTGTTTCACTGATACTTCATAAAAGACCAGACAACGCAGCCAACATCGACGCGAAGGTATCCCCTCTAACTACCCAATCTCTTCAAAAATTAGCGTAGTTCAGTAGTAGTAACTACTGATAACTTCTTTTGTTTTTAGCAATCACACAGCAGCAGCAATCGGGACACTGACTTGAGTGCGATCCGGTCGTCGCCAGCGTACTTTTTTTTATTGTTTCTCCACTAGTTGTTAAATAATGCCATGCAATGTCCAACGTACCCTTTTTCTTTACGTTCTGTTTTGTTTTCATAAAACGCTACCTATTACAGCCTTTTTACATGCGTGCTGTTTTGTCGTTGTGCTGTTTTGACGCCGTGCTGTTTTGGCACGTGCTCTTCTGTCGCTGTGCCGTTTTGACGCCGTGCTGTTTTGTCGCGTGCTATTTTGACGCGTGCTGTTTTGTCGCCGTGCTGTTTTGACGCTGTGCTGTTTTGTCGCGTGCTGTTTTGACCGTGCTGTTT